GCAATTTGCTATCTTTACTGAACAAAAAAGGTTGATTTTTTTTGCTTTAATTTTGATGATACCTAAAGATGTCTGTGTTGTTATTCTTACCCAATTTGCCAAACTTTGGTCATTTTAAATATCACCATTTCTGATAGCCTCTCTACAGTTTAGCTACCTATATGTAGTCTTCAATGGGCCGTGGCGGCAGTGGTTAGAATGAAGTACTGCAAGCTAACTCTGCCCACAGCCAGGAGTTCAGTCCTGACTGGCTCAAGATTGACTCAGCCTTCCATCCTTCTGAGGTTGGTAAAATAAGGAGCCAGATTGTTGGGGGAATATGCTGACTCTGTAAACCGCTTAGAGAGGGCTGTAAAGCACTATGAAGCAGTATATAAGTGCTATTGCTATTGGTCTCCTGGTCTCTCTTTCCAATTTTCTTCCCATTACTACAATTCGATTGATATTGAGAAAGACTTATTCCAATTAAAATGAAGCTATTTCTTCCTGAAGATACAATATAAAACTAAGTACAATAAATATAAATCTAGTCCCATGTAAAATCATAGCAGAGCATTTAAGTTTTACATAGAAATTTTGTCACAGAAGAGCACATCTGCCACATGTGCAGACTGTTGTAAGTGCCCTGAGTTGTGCAAATAACATGGGGATGCAACTGTAATAATAATCCATTATTTAGATTTTAATCAATTTAGGAACCAAACTTCCATTGCCATTCTTACGTTTCTATAGCAAATTTGGCCCCTGTGTGAATATTAGTGGGAGGCTGGAGTTTGGAGATTTTTTTTGGAGAGGTTTTGTTGTGTTGTATACTAATTGAATAATGTATTCTTGATTGTCCTCCTTAAAGAGGCATGTCCAGGATCTTTGGATGGATTTTATACTGTTGGCATTTGTTTTATTATTTTTCTAACTTCAATGCAAAAACCCTTTGTTGCATTTCGTTACAAATATTTTTATTATTATATTGAGCTACATAAAAAATTACACAAGTGGAGTGAGTCGTGCTACCCATTGGAATATTCCTTTTCATGTTTACCGCCCGCTCCTCACATCTTTTGTAAACCCCAAAGCCAATGGGAGAAGGGGGTGGAGTAGTATGGAGAAAGGGAGGAGGAGGAATCTGATGTACTTGATGGTTGCCATGTCACCAAAGGAAGGGCAAAAAGTGAGGAATCTAGTAGCATCTTTTCCAAGTAGCCTACGTTATTAAAAGGCACAAGATGGAGCTCACTTCTTCAGATAGGATGCATTCTATTGCATTTCTATATAGTTTTGTTCATCCTTTTGTAATCTGCCCTAAAACCTGTTGGTGCAATTCTTTTAAATACAAATAATTTAGACTGCAGTCTTGTTTAGTTAAGTGGGTTTAATTCTAAATAGTTCTGCATAGTATTGTACTGCAAAATAATTGTTTTCTTTATGTCAAACCTTCTGGAGGTTTTACTGAGATACTGCAGAAAACCCTGGAATGCTTTCTAAGTAATAGCATCCTGTCACACAAAAGACCAAGGCTCTCTTTTCAGAGCACTCTTTTCAGGATTAAGCCTAATCCTTTAATTCCTATAATTGGGTCTAGGTATCATAGGGACTTGGATTTTTAGGAAATATTAGAATTATATATAGAACACTTGAATTTCTCCAAATTCTAATTTTAGTTCAGAAATTTAAAAAAAGATAGAGCGTTTATATTTTTATGGAAATCCTTTATCTTCTGGAAGCAAGGGAACACTATTGCAGGGTCTCTCTACTTTTCCATTTCACTTTGTAGATTAGCCTAACATGGATAAAGTATGTGAAAAGTCTTCATATTTTTTATTAGACCATCAGAACTTTGGACCCTAATGCTGCAGTCCTCTAAACTTCAACATTAGATACAGCAGCAGCAAAAGCTGATTTAAGAGTAATGCATGAGGGACAATTAACTATACACTGAGTTCAGTGTCAATCTTATTTTAAAATGCTGTCCTACCAAAGTCTGCACATGTTAAACCAGGGTTTACAACTGCAATTGAGTGTTCACACAACATATTAAACAAAAAGAAATCACATTTGTCTTATTATTTTCTTAAGAGCTCTTTAAAAGATCCCATTGATGGTGGAAGCAGTTTGAGCACCAGTGGTGTGAGAACATGAGCTGACTAATTCTGATTACATTGAAATTATATATTTCTTATGAGCACTCAGTAGACGTGAACAGTGAGTGAAACTAACTGGATTTCTCCTTACTGCTTTAAACTGTTTTTAAGGGTTGTGTGAGTACTCTCACACTAACAGAAGGATTTGGATAGTGATGCACCGTCATTCAAAGTCTGGATTTAGAATTTAGTTGTAAGGTCTGAATGTAATTCTTGATTCATTTGCTATTTGAGGCATACTAGTTGCAGTTGCACAGCAACAAGTCCTATTTTGCCAGATATAAAACATTTACATTCCAGTGTTTCTAATTCTTCACAAGAGGTGAGATTAAGCTTCCCAAATTACAAAACTTGGAAGCTGGCATAACTCTTTAACTGTGCAATATTACAAGGCAGTGATTAATATATAGCAAAATAATAAATGCTAATAGAATGAGAATGAAAACCAATGCATCCTTATTTCAAAATAAGTCCCAATGAACCCAGCTTTCCAGTTGACATATATATTCATTATTTCCTGAAATTATGAACCTTTTACATTTCAAGGTAACCATTAGTGTTACTCAAATGTCTATGTTAAGACTTTTTTTTAAAGAGGATTTTGGGCCAATTATTCTCTCAGCCCTATGAAAGAAGACAATGGCAAACCACTTCCTAAATCTTGTAAAGACAGCTGCAAAGACTTGTTCAGGCATTTGCCAGGAGTCAACACTGACTCAAAGGCACACACAGAGACATTTTTTTGTTATTGCTGAAATTCTGGAATTAGGGTAAAGGTTATCTTTCCCTGTAGTTTTTTAGTTCAGACTTTCAACTTTGCTGTCAAAAGCCGTCAGCCCAGGGGCAGGAAAATGTTGCATTCCAAACATCTAACACAGTGTTTCTCAAGCTTGACAATTTTAAGGCATGTGGACTTCAACTCCCAGAATTCCACAGCCAGCAATGCTGGCTGTGGAATTCTGGGAGTTGAAGTCCACATGCCTTAAAATTGTCAAGCTTGAGAAACACTGATCTAACATGTAACCATTACAAATATATTTTCCTACCCTCATTTGTATTTTTTTCTTCTCTGTATGGAAAGACTCCTATCCTACCCTTTTCATTTGGAATTAAATTTCTGAGTCTCTTTCCTTGTCACATAATACAGTTCCCCTAACAAAGGAGTTTGCACAGAAACGCACAAATAAAAATACAGCACAATCAATGTCACATTTTAAACATTTGAAAAAGGGAGCGCATTTATTCATCTTCTCGGGTTGTCCAATAAATGGCATCTCTTCTCTCACGTAGTATACGTACTTAATCGTTTGGCAGCAACAACCTGCCTGCTCGACGGACGGCGGGGTCCGGCGCTTTCAGAGCAGCTTCACATTCCAGGTCTGCGCCCGTATAAGGATCATATTACTGGAGATCACACGGCTTCAGCCAAGCTCTGGAGTTCCGTCAGGAGTGGGTGGTGGCTTCTATTCATCCCTGCAGTTCGCTCTCCTGCCGCAAGGGTCTTTCGAGGGAAGGAGAGCTCTGCGTTTTAGGTTCAGCCCTTGGTGTGGCGCTAATCAGAAGTTTTACTTCAAATACTCAAAGTAAACTGTTTGCGGCGGCGCGGATTTCTCCTTCAGGAGTTTTTAGGTTATTGGCTTTCTTTCGTTATTGGCATGGCATTGCCCTGCCAATAGACTGCGTTGGGGGAAAAAAAAACAACAAGGCGTTTTGCTAACGTCCGTATTCAACTCTTGTTTCTCCAAGCCAAAGCGAACAAAGAATGGACTTATCCGATGACACTCGGAGAGAAAAAAAAAAAAAAACCTAAGCGGAAAATGGTTGCTCTTTTTTCAGCCCCCGCCATTGCTCACACACCAACAAGAAACTCTAAAGGGAGGCGAACTGTTTATTCTCCTCCCCTACTACGGTATCGTCTGAGCCTTTTCGGTGGCACTATTGGCTCTAGTTTTCAGTAGTTTCGGATGATGGTTTATCTTATCAAAGACACTTAAGAGCGGCCCGTTTCCTACCGAGTGGCTACTGTTTGCCCCTGAAGTTAATGTAAAACTTGCTTCATCGTCGCCCACCCAGAAATTCACTTTGCCATTGCGCCTTCCAGCCCAGTAACCCACCCCCCTTTGTGTCGCAGGGGGTTCGCGCTCCGCTTTAGTGCACACGCACACATGGATCCCGGTCTCGGCTGGCCGTTCGCGCGCCCGCAGACAGAACGGCCCGGGCCCTGCCTGCGGAACGTGGTACTGCTACCCTTGGCGCACACCACGAATCGGAGAGCGCGCCGACTGACTGGCTACCCCGAGGAATGCGCGGTATGCAAGAGGCAGGAGCAACCATTCGACGGGACGGGGAGGGGGGACGGGATCGGCCCATGTCTGTCGCGGCCGCAGAAGCACGCGCGTTTCGAACCGTCTGGCGCGGTCTGGAGGAAAAAGCCCTCGGCGGCGTGTGCCTAGACGCCGAGTAGCCGCCGCCGCGTGGGAGCGGCTCGGTGTCTTCCGATTTAGTTGTTTCGACTCCCCCCCCCCTCTGCTCGGTTGCGCGCTCTCTGTATGTTTTTCCTCTCTCTTTCTCTCCCTCTCGCTGGGCGGTGGTTGAGGCCGCTGGTAGTTAGGATCGATTCTGCTGTTGCTGAAGTCGCCGCGGTGGACAGCAGCAGCAGCGGCGGCGGCGGCAGTATTGGATAGATCAATGAAGGGGCATTTATGGCAGGCTGGCCAGCTGAAGCTGTAGGCTCAGCGCGGCTTCGCTGCCGTCGGTGATCCCAGGAGAGGGAAGGAGGACGACGACGGGCGCGTTGCATGAGAGACTCAGCCCGGGAAGAGGGGGGTGGAGGCAGAGCAGGCGGAGGCGTCGAGCCAGCAGCCAGCTGCAGGAGCAGAGACCCGTCCCAGCAGCCGGGGAGAGAGAGGCGTTTTCCAGCGGTCGCCTCCCTGAATCGCGCCCCAGCCAAGTTGCTTCCCGTCCGCAGGGGAAGTTGGGGCTTAGGCTGGGCAATGATTTTCCCCAATAGTAGCAGCAACTCTGCGGGCGGCAGCCGGACTCCATATAGGAAACAGGTAAAAAAAGGAGAAAGGGGGAGGAATCGAGTTGCAGTTTCTGTGGGGCGGGGGGCACTTTGCTCGTAGGGAGGGGCGCGGAGGAAGAAGAAGGGGTGGGGACTTAATTGTAGTTGAGGCTCGCTCTTGAGGATCTAGTGAATTGAGCGCTCTTTTTTTTTTTTTTTCCTCCCCGGGACGAGTTTTGCTGTCTTTGCCCTCTTTCCTCCTTGCCTTTTCTTCCTCTTAAGATTGTATCACGCGGATTCCGACTTAAAAAAGAAATAACGCCGCCTCTCTTTGTGTTCCGGCCAGAGATTCCAGACAGGGCAACATACAAGTCTTGCAGAAAGAGATGTTGTTTCAGGGTAGGGAAGCTCTCGATCGAGTAATAAAGCCTCTTCCTCCCAGTTGCTTTCAGGGAAAGAGTGTACGGGTAAACGTCTTAGAAAACGAAAGTTTCAGCCCACTAGTGTCTATTTGTGTAGAAATAGTGCAGAGGGAGAGACGTACCCCAAGTAAAAAAGAGATTTTTCTTTGGGAAAAAAAGAGAGAAAAAATTAAACACGCTAAAAACATTATACCATGGGGAGGATGTGGACACCGTGCCAAGGCGCGGGTTTCTCTTAAGTTAAAATTAATTTGTAATAAGACACCTCTTTATGTAATTCTCAGAAATGTGTAATTGAAATTGCGTACAATAGTGCCTTTTATCTATTTGCTATCTGTGTTGAAGAAATGGTTAAAATGGCTTACACAAAATTACTGTTGCTTTATTTGTTTCCCCTTCCTTTCCAGACTGCAAGAAAATTGGATTCTAAGAAATATGACGAGTTTCAGTCTGACATGTTGATTTAATTCTGCCCCAAACAGAGACATTCTAGTAGACTGTGCTTCTAGAAATGGTTATGTCAATATCCTGTTCTTTAAAAAAAAAAAAAAAAGGTGGTTGGAGAAAGGATGTCTAGCTGTCTCCCAAACTGTGCCTTATTCATATAAAACAGATCTCTCTCATTCCATTTTAATTTTGCCTCTTCATAAATCTATTTTTCTCTTCTGGGCATGCACATGCATTTAGAAACAATATCTTTGTTTAACGTGAATAGCAAGAAATTTGACGAACAAAAATTAATCAGTGTCTTTAGAACTGGACTTTCTACCATTAGAGCTGTGATCCTGATTGCTTCAGTGAGATTACCCGGTGACAGAATACTCTTTTATTTTAATTTAATTATGTTTAAGTGTAGGGGTTGTTAATGATGTTGCTAAAGGTTTCGTGGAATATTAGTTTAATCTTTTAACGTTTCTCATTTTGTACATAGCCTGATATTAACAATTTCATAAAACATTTTGAAGTACGGGCAGATTTCTAGCATATTTTATAGTATTATGTTCTGGTTTTAAATTAATTGATGGGTTGATTTAATTAGGAGGAGCTCTTGCTTCTAAAGAAAAAAATAGGCTACGTAAATAATACAGTAGTGATCACGGTCTTCCAATTCTTTTTTTTTTTTTTTTTGCAAGAACAATGTAAACAAGAATTTGAGGGAAGTCTAGAAGTCCGAGAAGTACACCAAGTCTTTTAAAAAGTTTTGTTGTTCATTGATTCATTAAATGATAAGGTAGTGATGAAGGTGAAGCTGCTGGAAGAGAAAAGAGGATGAACCTTTTACTGGAAAGCTGTATGTTTTGCATGCGGATGCTAATCAGATGGTGGACTGGAACACACTGATAAGGATAAGATGCTCTTCTTTCACAGTCCACTCCTTGATTTCAAAGAGCTAAAAGGGTTGAATGAATCAGAAAAACAAACAGACTTCCCTTTCAATGGGGAGAGGGAGAAAATGAATATAGGCCTAAGACCCTGGGTACTAAAGGTTTGTTTCATCGGGAGTCCAGCCTTTCTTTAGTGAAACACTTCCTACTTAAGCTGGGGAAGGCTGAGTGTGCAGGCATTCTAGCTTGTATAAGCTCCTGTTGATTTTAATTGGGGCAGACTTTGGCCCATTGTCATTCAAAACATGCTTCTTTATTTCTCATTCTTGCTGAAGTCTTTATCACTTCTTGTCATAAGAAGATCTTGAGAGATTTGGAGGAGCTACTAGCAAATATACAAAAAAAATCTGATTCTAGTGTGCAAATAATGCTACTGTACTACTTTTTTTTACAATCATGGGGATGAATTTATTTTTCAGTAACGATGTTTTTCTGCAAGTTATTAAAGTTTTTTTTTAAAAAAAAACATTGAAATGAACTACTTCTATTCTTGCAGTGCTAAATTCCTTTTTAAGTCACCCTTTATTGCTTTGAGCCATGCCATAATTTAAGGAAAGGTTTTTTTCATATTTATAGATGCAAAAATGAATCTTAGATGTAAGTTTTCAAGAATACCATAAGCTTCTATGCGACTTTTTTTGACCACATTGGTAATTTATAATCCTATAAAATGTTCACTCAAAAGTAAATCCAACTGACTGGTGACTTAAGCATGGAAAAGGATAAGGAATTGTCCAAAGTAATAATTTGGGGCGCTAAACAAAACAAAGCAAAAATATATTCTATTAGATGGAAATTACCTTGTACAGATAGTCTTCATCTTGTCACCACAATTGAGCCCAAAATTTCTGTTAATAAGCGAGACATTTCTTAAGTGAGTTTTGCTCCATTTTACGACCGTTCTTGCCACATTAAGTGAATCACTGCAGTTGTTAAGTTAGTAACACGGTTGTTAAGTGAATTTGACCTCCCCATTGACTTTGCTTCTCAGAAGGTCACAAAAGGTGATCACATGACCCCAGGACACTTCAACGGTCATAAATACGAGTGTTGCCAAGTATCTGAATTTTGATCACATGATCATAGGGATGCTGCAATGGTTGTAAGTGTGAAAAACAATCATTAATCACCTTTTTTCACTCTGCTGTAACTTTGAATAGTTACTAAATGAACTCTGTTGTAAGTCGAGGACTGCCAGTAATTTGTTTCTGTTCAGTCTTTGCAAATATGTCTGTTTTTTCCACGTACGTAGAAACATAATGCTATTTGAACATGTTGATTTTATTAAGCAATACGTAATTACACTACGGTACTTTGAATAGACCTGCCATGCTTCTTTCTGTGCTTGTACTCAGTTGTAGGAGCACGTCACACAAATCCCTTTGTTTTTTGTCATGTTGGAAAAGAAGAAGATGGTGTCAATTCTTCTCGTACTCCATAATGTTATAGCAAGGAGTGCACACAGATCTTTGAAATCATCTGTTGGAACAGGATTTTCCTATATCATGAAAACAATAGAGCATACTGAACTATTTCTGTTAAGATGTAAGTTCACAGTAGTTGAAAAGCTGCTGAGGGTATATATAGGTCAGCTGATAGTTTAGATGTATGCTTAATGTAAATGTACATACTCCCCTTCTAATTCTTTATATTTAAGACAATACTAGCGGTTATCAGAGTTATAATTGCTTCTCAATAGATAATATTTTAAACAACATTTTACTAATAAAAATAGCAGTTCAACTTAATCATAATTCATGTTAATTGTTTTCCTTAAAATACATTTTAATCAAACCATTCTAGAAATACCTTTAACACCTATGAATAATTTACTTGGTTTATGTAAATTAAAACTCTTTTTGAGACATTTGAAAAAAATAAGGATTTTTGAACAGAAGATGCAAATAATCGGGCGGAGCAAATAGTTTTACCTATGGGAAATGTTAAATATATGTGCATATATAGATCTGATATAGATCTGAATTTGAATTACAGAGTAAAAACTATACTGATTTAATTCTGAAAATAAGATTTGCTTTCCATTCTGAACGCAACTGTTGTAAAATTAATAGAGAAAAGTAATTAAGGATTTTTGAGTTCAGGTTATTGCTAATATTGGAGCTTAATTTTTTTCAAATGAAAGTTGATGAGACCTTGTTTATTTTATTAGTTGTCCATAAATGTTGGTTTGAGAAGAGTTGCTATCTTGTTTTGTTGAGTATTATTTCACTCCAAGTAACAGCCATTCTGGTTGCTTGTTGTTACATTATGAGGATTATAATATTTACTTTACAAATATAAGTAGTGTGTTACTTTCAAGAAGATTAATTAGGCATAACTCCTATGAAAAATTTTACATTGATTCAGTGGTTGGCCCATGGTGGTTGATCTTGTTATGCATAGCAGGACTTGCATGATACATAAATACATTGTATAACACATTCTAAGATGTGCTAAAATGTTTAAAACTGGTAAAATCATCCCAAAGAGATAAACATCTATTGTGGTAGTCCAAATTATAACTCCACTCTCTGCATTTCTCACTGGTATAAAGTTCATTTTTCATTGTTGAAAGAGAGACAGAGATTTAAGAGAGTAGAGATGTTGTTAATTTCTTTGTTTAATAAAATCATTTTTAAGAAAGGTCAGATTGTTTTGAGAATTTGCACAGTAACTTTTACAAAAAGAAGAACCACTCTTACAGTTTAATTTTATTCGGAGAATATTTGGGGACTGGAATTAACATTTTAGAATTACAAGCCCACGCATTTTACGGATTAACAATTTAGTCATCAATCCACAATCATTCACTGAGGAATAATCCTATTAAAAATGGGAGAGAGGAATCCTTCGGCATCAGTTTCTTAAACAGGATGTAATCTCAGTAGAGAATACCAATTAGTGTTGTAATCATAGAGGCATTTCTCTTGCTGTTCCTGAACATGAATTTCTTGAACTGGAAACAGGCTGGTTGTAGTTTTCAAATGTGTGGCTGCATTGAATTATGGGCATCATTATATACCTATGATTTTCAGTGAGATTAGATTTGTTTCTTGCCTTTCCTCTAGGAATTCAAAGCGATGTCCATAATATTCCTGCATTCAACAGCCCTGTGGGGGAGGCTGACGTGGCCCATTTTCTGAGCTTCCATGTATAGGCTTATATATACAGCTTATATATGGTATATAGCAGTGGTGGCGAACCTATGGCACGGGTGCCAGAGGCGGCACTCAGAGCCCTCTCTG